CCTTCAATTGTACCTGTATCAATCTCTGTTACCGAACTTGTGAGATCCATCAGATCGCAGGAAACTTCCACATCGTTATAAACGACATTAGAAGTATTGCATCCAATTTCAACTACATTTCTATTACAACTTGGCGATGTTTGCGTCGCGACGATTCGAGTCAATTTCAAAATTTCCTTCAGATCTTGGTCCTCTTCAGCGTCAATTTCTTGATCAGAAGGGAGATGTAACTCCGTCTGCGTGCAGATTGATCTTCGAGAAGGTTGATCAGCTTCATCCAAGTTTACATCTTTCGTAAACATATGTGGTTCGGTATTTTGCAAGGAAATGTCGTGATTTGGCGATGTTTCGATCTCATTGTCGTCTTTCTCGTGATCGAAGTCGTTCACAGCGTTTTCCTCCGCGTCTTCGTTTTCTCTTGCGCTGTCGTTGATGATCTTTCTCAATGTGTGGATTACCTCCATGGTTCTTGCTCTCTTGCCACGAGTCAGGGTGGACGCAGTATGCTGCTCGACATTCGAATTGTTCGAGGATTCTTTCAGCACAATTGGTCGCGTTTGACAATGTCGCGATTTCGATTTCGACAGGGTTGGGTTCGCGTCATCGCGTTTATCTACAAACTTTGTGCCAATCTTCGTTCTCGACCATCTCTTCTTCGGCAACGTTCCTCCGCTTTGCAGCCTCTGCCGCTGTTTCGTTTCCCTATAATAAAATTACCATGTATAAACGTTGTTATCTTAATAGAATTATATATGTCGAGGATAAACGTCTCTTACGCGAGATGTTCGCAGATTTTCATCATGCGATTTGCGCGAGGGTCTCTGTTCTCTTTCATTAACATCTTGGACTGATTTGCTGATGTCGAGCTGCTCGTCGACTCGCTATTAGAGGCTCTAAAATTATAAATACAGAATGCATAGAATACGAAATCGTTCGGAGTCGAAGTCACTTTACATATTATTTGTAAATATTTTTTAACCAATGATATTTTTTTTAAATGTCACCTTTTAAAAAAACATTTAATAATAATTATATACATAGATGGAAACGGTAAAAACATAAAAATTTAGAAATAAAGATAAAAACTATTCAGAAATATACAGAATGTCACTAAGAAAGTTCGCTAGCTTCAGAATAGTTTGCACATATAGAGTGACAGATACTTGAAGAGCAACTTCGTAAACATGTAAGATAGAAAATAGTAAAAAAAGCTATATATTACTCGACATGTTCAGACGACGAATGTTTGTTCCTCGACGAAGCGGTGGATTTTTCGGTTGACTGAGACGACTTCTGTGATATCGGTTGTAAAGACGTTGCGCTTTCCGTAGCCCGAGTTTTCGAGACACCGGGTGGTTTCCAGGCTCGCTGATTAGAAGCGACATTCCTTTGAAGAACACCCCTCCTCCGGGCAATCACATTGCCGTCCATAGCTAGTTTATCGTTCGCTGACGAATTATCCCGCGAATTATCAATGTGTTTCGTGCTTTTAGAATTTTGTAAATCGGTACGACGCGCGCGGTCTACATCAACGCGTTCGTTCCCGGTTCTTCTGTTCGTGCAAAATTTCCGCGTACGTTTGCGATTCGTCGCGGCGTTTGCATTTTGCGGATGTATTTGCGTCTCGATCTCGGAGCAATCCTCCTTCGGAAAGTCGTTGGGTTTTTCTCCAGATTCTGTTCCGCGACGGTGAACTTCGACTTCGCAACGCGAGTCCGCCGGCTCCTCCTCGTCGCTCAAATGTAATTGGAGCTTATACGCGACGTCTACGATTGTACGATCTTCGGAAGAGACGCTAATGCTTTTCGAATGATCTTTCCCTGTACAGTTCGTTTCACCCTGAGAAGCATGTGAATTATCTGCGTGTTTTTCGAACTCGTCGACGACTTTTGTCAGTTCGCCGCGAAGAGTTCGGTTCGCCAGTTTAGCTGGACTGCCGGCGCATTTTTTGAGATCGTCGGAGACGTCTTTGATCAAGTCGCTTCGAAGAGAAATGAGAGGATTCTCCGATCGACAAGTTTTGATTAGTTCGCTGTCAGTAAGAAATACGGTCGCACGACGGTCCCGCTGTTGCTTGAGGATCATTATCATCATCTGCATGCTTCTGCTCTGCTTCACGATGTTACTTCGTTTCTTGTGAATTCCGCTCGATCTGAGAATGACGTTTCCTTGCGGCCTCTTCAACCCACTCACATCTTTCATCGACGAATTCTGCTTCGATTTCATCGGCGTCCGTCTTTTCATCAAGGAAGATTGCGTGTGGCTCGCGAAATGTGGCCGGGTGTGCGTTTCGCTCGTGGCTATCCCGAGTTTCGGCATCTTTCTGTCTTGAAAATAAATAAATAAATAAATATACATGTGGAACAAAGAAATTGTCAGTTTCAAATTTGTTCTCCTTAGTCGCATTTTTTAACCTTTTCTGCATATACTTAAATTAAAACGAGTTCTTAGATACTGCTTCTTGCAGTTTTGATGTATAATTTTTTGTTCTCTTTTCTCTCTCTTTTCAAATTCTAAGAACATGAAAAAAATTTTCATAGATATTTTCTATATTATGTACAGACACTGATGGAATACAACTTTTAAAATTTTTGAAGAAATAGATATTATCTGAAGATTAAAATATTGATAAAGAGAGAGATATATATAATTGCTTTCCATTTACACTCAAGTGATCAGAGTCACTCAGATATGTGTAATATTTTATACTCAGGTAAGATGTGTCATTTCGTATTTACCTGCTTGTTTTGATGACAAAGCTATCGCATAACAATACAGGTCCATAGCCTCACTTTTAAATGTAAGTTTATTAGATTCGTTAAAGCACATGGTCTCGATTGTGGATAAAAACTCAGTTGAATCTCACTTGCCAGCATGCAAAAAGAACGTGCATTTAACTGAGTTTATGACGTCACAAGTGAGAATTATCTGAGTTTTGTAAATGGAAAGCAACTATAGATATAACAAATATCACCGAGACAGTACAAGATACTTTTGCAGCGTACATTGACTATTTGAAAAAAACAGAGGAAAACCAAGTAAAATAGGGTTTACGTACATATTTGAGTTCACTGTTACATAGGTTTTGGATCCTAGAACAGAAGAATTCGCGCGATCGCGTGTAGACGCTCGTGGAAAGATCTATACGCACGGGAAACGAATAAACCTTGCACAGACACCTTGAAAATAACGAATCAACTCATGATTACGTTACGCACTGTGATCCGTGATCCCGTAATTTGACACACAAGCGGATTTGGAGACGTCTAACCGGCGTAACGTTAGGCAGATCGAAGCAGACTGTCGTTTGTTTTGGTATTGTTATGTTGATCTTCATGGACGTTGTTTGGGATCATTCGATACGCTGAATACGTATCGTCCTTTACCGAGATCGACCAATTGGCAGAAAGCAAGATAAAAATAGAGCCGGTTTACAATAATAAAACACTCATGTAAAAAAAGTTATCATTTCCATTTAAATTATTGTAGACGGAATTATTTAATTGTTAAAGCGAACAGCGTAATAAATTGATAAATTATTGAAAAATGTTATTTGTATGAAACTTGGAAAAAAAAATTGCATTTATTATTTGTCGTTATGCAGGATAGTTTAACCCTCTAAGGACAGGTATTTTTTAAGTACACTGTGGCTCATTTGCCACGTCCGTTCTTAAAAGAGATAAGGATATTGACATGATAAACGAGAAAACTACAGATAGTTGAAACCTTGTTTATTGACGTGTAAATACATTTCAGGATTCATCCGATTTACTGAACTTGCGCACCCCCCGCTGGTGCCGTCTGGGTCGAAGATTTGGATTCGCGCAATGAGGCGCTGCGCCTTCGCTTGAGTTCCTCTTGGCGCCTGTTCTTCGCCTCCTTCTGCCTTTGCGCCAGCAGCTTGGCGTACTCCGCCGCTTGCTCCTTGCGAGCCAGACAGCGCTTCTTCTTCAACGCCAATCTATGTCTTTTTCTCTGTAAGTATTTTTTTTCACGTTTAAGAATATATTTAGAGTCGAAAAAGAATAAATTTTAATGTAACGATTGCATAATACTTCGATTCCCCTTTACTTAACTTGACAAATAATCTAATTTAATTTTAATTTCATTTTCAGGATATATTTATCGGTGTGAATTCTTCTAAGGTTACGTACCTGAAGAACAATTGGCGTGATCAAACGCTGAATCTTCGGCGCCTTAAACCGTTCCTTCTTTCCTTCTTTTTGGACCGGTCGTTTTACAACAAACTGCCGTACATCATCCTTCTTCGAGAGATTGAAGAGTTTGCGAATTTTGCTCGCTCTCTTTGGTCCCAGACGACGCGGTACATTCATGTCAGTCAATCCCGGGATTTCCTGCAATTGATTCATATATTATTGTAGAAAACTATTATAAACCAGTAAAACCAACCAAGTCTTAGAAATTAGTCTTACATTAGTTCAGAATAAATCTTAATTTATATTTAAAACTCAATTTATTTTTTATTTAAAAAATTTAGAACCATATAACAAAATTTTGTTTCTGCTAAAAATTCAGATTGAACCGACAATAATGAAGAGGAAAAAAAATGTTTCGTTCGTACACTGAGAAAAAGCACAAGTAACACAGCAGTTTCCCAAATCAAAAAACGAATTTTATCTCCCATGCGTACGATAGTATCTCAAGAAAATTGAACATCTCGAATACACCCTGAACAGCATGGGTCTTTAGCAAAAGATACATCGCGATCGATCATTCACCTGTTTGCCCTTCCTGATGATGACAAGCGCCAGCACAGACAAATTGGAGTCTACGATGCAACCGCGAACTGATTTTCGCTTGCGCTCACCATCTCGTCGTGGTCTGTAGCAAGAGTGTCCCTTGGAAAGCAACAAACGCACACGACCTACACCAAACAAATGACATTGGGTTAAAAGACAGTCTCTCGATGTATTAATCATGACGCAGATACGAAAAGTTGCAGAAGTGTTCCCGGTCTCTTTTACAGACTCGAGGGAACAGTGCCAAGATGACAATAAGAATAAACGAAAGGTTTAGCGAATTATCTCTCGAGTAACTTTTTATACACATGTTAATTGTATCGATGTAAAACGTATCGGGAACCCACCGTTTGTCAGAATACCCTGCTTCATGGGGAAACCTTGCTTGTCGTTACCCCCGGAGATGCGCACCACGTAGCCTTTCCATTCGTCTCCCAGGGCGTCAGCCTCGACCTCGGCGCCCATGCGCCTCTCGTAGAAGATTCTGAGCTTGTGCTCGTCCGAAATTTCGAACAGCTTCTGACATCCTGTCGCGGGATACGACACGTTCAGCTGCAACAACCAAATGCACATTAGAAAGGTCGCATACGAATACGCTCGAGACTTCTGAGATAGGCTGAAGTTGAATTAGGTTAGAGTTTCTTCCACGGAGTACAGCAGCCGGGAAAAGGAACACTTTCTCGGAACGATGTATCTCGCGCGAGTTGTTGATTAAAACAATGGGGAGACGCGTCGTAATCGCGTTACACGGCAATTAACGCGGTGAAAAACGTCCGCACGCTTCACCCGCCGTGCCGTCACCTGACGCCGACGCTTATTTACGGTCGGTGTTGCGCGCGGACGAGCGCGGTCTTGACAAATATACGAACGTCGCCGTGTCCGCGGTGCTTCTTCGAATCGAAGAGGATCGGTATCTCGCGCGAAGGACGCGCGATTCCTACGATTTTCGCAGATTCTTACCTTCATCGTGACACGATTTAAACGCTGCCACGAGCCATGAACGAAGGAGAGAACGGGAGAGCGCGCTGCCGCCGGTGCTGCCGCCGAGTTGACTAGCGACTGTCGCGCGTGCGCGAAGCGCGGCGCGCCACCGGATGTCCGCCGCGCGCCGGTGAAACGCCACGAGGATTCGAATTGAACGGAAAGAGGTACGCTCCGGAAACGAATGCGAATTCGGCGAATCGCTGCTGGAAACGCACGTGGTCTCTCTCAACGTAGAGATTCGCGTCTAATCCTCTCTCCGTTTCCTCATTTCGCATTTATATCCGTGTCTAACGTATTTTTAACGTTGCTCGATAATATATAGCAGGGGCGATTTGTATGTCGAATAATAATAGTAATAGTAACAGTAATATAACAATAGCAATAGCAATAGCAATAGCAATAGCAATAGTAATAGAAATACGTAAAATAGAAACTAGATACATTCGTCGATTAATTTACACCGGCGCGATTGGCGAAAATTTCAGCAACGTGATTCACCTTTCCCGTTTTTTTTTCTCCACGTGTGAAATAATAGGGAACGATGCAACGGTCCACTATAATCGCATTATAACGAGCAACCGCGCGGGTGTCGGTCGCCAAGTTAATAGTCGATCAAGCTAATCGGAGTTTGATCGTTCTTTATTTCTCCGCATGACGCATGGAGTACATACATACACGCACGCGCCCGACAACTGTCACTTAATCGCGGGCGGAGAAAGGGAAAGAAAAAAGGGAGAAAAACGAGAGGAGAGCCGACGCGCAGCGCAAGTCGAAGAAGCGGCGCGGCGCGGTGACCGGCGGGATAGGCGGCGCGGGGCTGCGGGGGGCGGGGGCGAGGAGGGAAAAGGGAAACGTTGCGCGCCGCCGAAGGTGCCGACCGACGACCGACCACGTACACGTACGTACGACGTCGCGGCGCGGAGCGTGTGTGTGTGTGTGTGTGTGTGCGCGGCACTCTTCGGTGGAGTCAGGAGTGTGGACACGATAGAGAGACAGAAAGAGTGGGATCTCGCCGGAGGATTTTCGTTATGTATCGATTTACTACGTAAATACTCTTCCTCGCGCGCGAACGGAGCGGCAAATGGAGCACGCGGAATGAGAGGCTGCGGCACCGGTTGCGAGACAGGTAGACGACGTTTCGTTCTCTCCCCCTCTCCCCCGCTCCCACGCGCGCGCGGCGCCGAATCGCGCGCGTCTCTCTCGTCTCTCGTCTCTCGTCGCCCCCCGGGTACCTTCGTCGGAATCGTCGTTCGTCCCCCGCCCGGTCCGGTGTTCCGTCTCCGTCGTCGCCGCCGCGAACGTCCCGTATAGGTTAGAGGGCACCTCGCTCACCGGAACGACCGAGACGACGACGGTGATCGGGTGATGACGACGTTGATTCGCGAGCGAACGTGAAATGATGTAACGAGACTCGCGTGATCGCCTTATCGTTTTCCGTCGGGGTACGCGCGTCCCCCTATTTCGTTTTACGTGGACCCGCGCGACGCGACGGCTCGTCCCGCGACCACATGCTCGGCGATTCCCCCCGGAGCGCGTACTTCTCGGCAACCTGCGTCGCGGACGACGGTCGACCGCAATCGGAGTCGTCTTCGCGGTTTTTCCTGTTCGAGCCGAAACGACGGCATTGCTACGTCGCAATTGCGACGTTAGATAATATCGCGCCGGGAAACGGGGATATTCGTTAAGGGCGAGAGAATCCGGGGCATGTAATATCCGCTGATATTGTGTACAGTAAGAAGACATGGAAGCCGCGGTGATAGAAGTTCTACGACAGGCGGTCAGTCAGGATCCCAATGTTCTGAAGTCTGCGGAGGAAACGCTGAAGCAATGGGAGACTCAGCAAGGATTTTATATAGCGTTATATGTAAGTCCTCCTATGCTGGGAACGACAGCATTATTATTTTTTTTTACAGGCTTATATTTTCTATATTTCCCACGTACGTATTGGATTTGTGGAACGTCACGTGGGAGACTGATGTATTTATGCAGTGGATATTATTTTCTTTTAGGAATATCTTACATATTGTTACACATTTCTTAGCGTTGATCTGAAACTTATGACTAATCACGCAAAAATTGTTATTTTTAGAATGTTCTTTCGAATCATTCCTTGGCTATTGAAGTTAGATGGATGGCTGTAGTGTATTTGAAGATCGGAGTTGAGAGATACTGGAGGAAAAATGCGCCAAAGTAAGAAGCAGGGAGTTGTGTTTTACAGAAATGAGATATTATTGCATTTACGGCAGCGTACGCTTAATAATGCATACTGTTATTCTAGCGCCATCGAAGAAAATGAGAAGGAATTTCTGCGACAGCATCTGCTCATAAATTTTGAAGAACCTATGAGTCCATTAGCTATACAATTAGCAGTTCTTATTGCCAAGATAGCAAGGTAACACATATAACGTGTAATATATGTAATATACGTTGAAATACTTATCTCTTTATCTCTACTGTACTAATCTCTTTGTTTTGCAATTTATTTTGCAGGTTTGATTGCCCCAGAGAATGGGGTACGCTGGTACCAACATTGCTGGAAGTCATAAGGCAAGAAAATCCTTTGGCGCAGCGTCAGGCGTTATTAACGCTCCATCACGT